CCCCCCCCCCCCCCCCCCAATGGTTTCTCTCTGTGGAACTTTTTCAGCTTGAGCTTCCATGTTTAATTCCGGGGAGTTTAGGCTTCAGGGTTGATGCTTCAAGGATGCTTCAGAGTTCAGGCGTCTTGAGGCTTCACGGGGATCTCCTTTCGCGGATTGCTTTGGATGTGAGAAGCTGGCATGTGGAGCATCAGCATCTATACATTTCGATCGTCTGAGAGGCTGAATGCAATTGGTTGCATGATGGGGAATACTCTTTGCTCTTTGCCCCCTCGATGCCTTCTAGTTCGTCTGTGGGTGCCGTGCATCAGACCAATTCACAACGAGCTTTCTGAGGTGTCGTTTGCCAAGGGCATCCGAGCTTCCGTGCTGCGGTTTGGTTCCGGCGTCCAGAGACAAGTTATGGTCAAGGCAGGGCTTTTTGGTGTTCAGCACCTTCTCCGCAAGGAAGATGTCTGCACTGCAAGAGAACAAGCACGCATGCATAAGGTATTGACTGCTCCACCAGTTTCAGCATGTTAACCCTATAAATGTGCTGTAGCAGGCCTTCTCCGAGTTTTCGATCCTCTGGTTGGATGAGTTCGGCCAGAGTTATCTACCAGCGGATGCAGTCCAGATCTTGTGTGCCCTTTCAACTACAGCCAAGCGTGTGCCACCGAAAACTCCGAAGGATCGTGTATTCGACAAGTGGAAGCAAGAGGTGGAGGCCCTAGTGCATTATACCAACGATCCGGACCACGTTTGGCACATAAGCCCCGACTACATTCTGGAAGTAACACAGCGTCTGGGCAAGCTGGGTGAAGAAGAAGGCGTCCGCCTGGCAACGTGGCAGTTTTTGTGAGGCCTCATCATTGTTTCAGCTTCTCTGACGGGAGCGACTAAGCGCTGTTGTGTTGCCCTTTTGCTTTCCTCCTACTAGTACCCGTGCGTGCTGTGCTACACACAAGGTAGAAGGAATTCAAGGTGTTCTTCATGCGAAGAAGGACAAACACGTGCTGGAGGAGGTGCTTGAGGTTCACGGCCTGGAAAGTCCAAAGTGCAATGTTTTGCGTGTTGGAAGTTGCGGATCGATCCGACAGCGAGGCCAGAGCATTAGCAAGAGTTCCCCGTGGCTCTCCTTGCATTTATCCGGTTTAGTTTGCAGGCGGGTATCTTTCAACTCGGGCTGTATCCAGATATGTTAGTAGCAGAATCTGAGTCTTTCACGCATGGCTGGTTACAGTATGATGGGCTAGTGGACCGTTGCATTGCTGTGCGTTGCACAGCCTTGCGCTAAGGAGAAGTTCCGGACCTTATGGATGAGGTCGCGGGACTCACTGCAAAGCTTCGGGGCAGGGCCTTCCAGCGAGCGATCTGACCAGGCTATCTTGGACTCGCAGCTGAGTGCGCTGACGAACGATGTTTGGACCTCGTAAGTGCATAACTTCACCTGTCGTTGCGAGTTGCTGAAAAGCTTTTCGTGGACAAGGGCAACAAGCCAAGGTAGTCGAAATGGTTGCAGTCAGAGAGCAGGCGCGTGAACTTCCTGCATGCATCATGGCTGAGGTGTGCTTTGTAGGGGAATTCGCCCCCACGAGGCTGTACAAACGAGAGAGTCGGCACGCACTGCGCTTGCGTTGGCAGATGCTCCAGGACAGCCTTAGTATTGGTTCTGGTTTTTCTGACTGAGCAAAGCAGCTCCACGTCCATAGTCCATAGGCGCTCAGCAGTTCAGCAGCCGATTGCTTCCGTCCAGGAACCGCAACTGAATACTGTAGCTGTTCAAGTGCCAGCTAAGAGCAGAATAGCTTGCAGCACCTCCTTTGATGTTCCCCAAAGCAGGAGCAGACCGGCAGCAACCACTTCCAGAAAGCCTTGTCACTTGCAGAACAGTGAGTCCTTGTCACGCTGACCGCTGCAGCCTCTCCGGCGACATACCTCTAAGCCTTCAAGCCTCGCAGCTTAAGCTTCCGATTCAGGTAGAGCCGACAGCTTCTGCCCTGTCGTCCACGGAGGCTTCAGACGAAAAAGCAGCAGGAGCCGGACAGGTTTGTTCGGGCTTCTGAAAAGCCAAAAAATGAGTTGTACTGGTTGGTACGCCACGACGACCACGATTATTACTGCCACAACTACTGCTTCCGCTGCTGCTACTACTACCAGCACCACCACCCCCACCAGCACCACCAGCACCACCAGCACCAGCACCACCAACGCCACCAGTACTACCAGTACTACCAGTACTACCAGTACTACCAGTACTACCAGTACTACAGCACTACCGTACTACTACTTGTAAACTTATTAGCACTAACGCTAGTACTTCTAGTATTTGTGCGACGATGTCGACGACTACGACTACTGCTACTACTCGTGCTGCAACTTATAGTACGAGCACGAATATGAGAGCGAGTCGTATTGTTGATCCACCGTAGTACAAATACAAGTAGTAGTACGTAGTACCAGTACTAGCACTGGTACCACTACCACGACGACTACAACAACAGCTACCACCACTACCACTACCACCACTACTACTGCTACTACTGCTGTGCTAGTGCTGCTGCTGCTGCTGCTGCAACTACAACTACAGAACAACAGCAACAGCTGCTGCTGCTGCTACTACTAATACTACTACTACTACTACTACTACTACCATCACCACCACCACCACCACCACGACTACTACTACTACTGCTGCTGCTACTACAACTACTGCTGCTGCTGCTACTACTACTACGACGACGACGACGACTGCGACTACGGCTACGACTACGAC